TTTCTGCCCTCTAACTACCCAACTCAGGCCGGGCAGCCCTTACCCTAACAATACCCTACTTGGCAAATACCTCAAAGTGGGCGGTAGATGCGATAAGATGCAAAATTTCATGCAACTTGTACGTGTGTGTGGATATATATTTATATATCTGTATGTTCATATATATGTGTATATATAAAATATATACAAATATATATGTATATATATATATGTATGTGTGTTTTTGCGTAAATATATATAAATAATGTGTATATATATAAAGAGATATATGTTGGGAGTGTCTATGTGTATGCATTGTGTGAATATGTGTATATGTGTATAGGTACATGTTCAAAAATGTATTCACATATATTTACATATAAATTACAGCATATGAATATATATGTATATATATACATACATATATATATTACACACATATGTGTGTGTGTGTGTGCTGAATATTTATAAACAAATGCATATGAAATATATATATATACATATATATATACATATATTTATGTTTATGTCTATAAAAACACACACAAATATATCTTCATATATACATATATATATGTATGTATGTATACATAAACATACACTTATATGTTGGACCGAGGGTTTACGGCATAGAAGAGTGGGCGGATGTCATTAGCTTGCTTGGCGTGTTAGGAACCGCCCTCTATAAGATATTTGTCAAGCACAGCACCTGTGTTCTAAGGCAGGGTTTTTAATTTCCTTTGATTTAATACACTGCTTCACGACTCAGTGTGTCCAGTTCATATACGTATGCATACATACATATACAATCTCTCTCTCTCTTTATATATATATATATATATATATATATATATATATATATATATATTTATATATATATATATATATATATATATATATATATATATATATATATATATATGAAACATTCATATATATACATACAAATACACACACACACACACACATATCTCTGTATATATACACAACATATATATAGTATCTAACTGATTATAATGAAAGCGTTAATGGTAAGTTTATCTAAAAGTTGTAAGCTGTGTACAGTTGTAAACTGTTGCAACAAAGAAAGGGAAAATAATCTGAACTTACTTGTTCAGTGTGATATCTGTACCCGATTATTATCATTATCATTGCTGTTATCATTACCATATTTCGACCTATTACTGAGTCGTGATCCGTACTCTGAAGAACCTTGCTCTAAGGTAAGGGCTGCCCTGCCTGAAGAGATGGGTTGTTAGACGGTCGAATTGGCATTCGCTCTTAAACGACCCCCCCCCCCTCAGGAGAGAATGCCGTCGAAGACAGCATGGCGACGGCCATGACTGGGTGGACTATTTGAGCGAGGGGCCTGAGCGTTTAAAGGTTTTAATATGAATTTATGCCCGTTGTAGTACATGTGACTGAGAGGAAGAGGACGTATGCAAAATATGTTTTCTGGTCTGCCTCGCGTCCCCTTGCAAATTGGTGCTTCCCTGTAGTTCTCCACTTTATCTACATTTTCGCTATATTTCTTTCATTAATAATAGGATTATTCGGGAATACAACCATAAACTTAGTTATTCTAGTATGCTTCGCGTCTCCTTCCTTGTCAAGGGATGGACGCCGTGACGTCATTGCAAAGGTTGGGGTGCGTAGTTTCCTGTTGCGACTCGAGGTCTCACACAACATTTTCTTGCTCAGTTTTAAACTTACATTGTGTTGTAGAAAATATCCAATGTTTATTTCGTCTGTATGTTTAAATGGATAAGAGGGCATATCTCCTCTTAATCTTATTTTGATAGGATTGCATGTTGAGCGCTGAGAATGTGTGTATAATCGGTGCATCTATGGTGATTTTTTTTTATCTCTTCTATCAGATATAAACCTTGGGGGTTGACTTTGAGAAAAAATAAAAATATTTGTAGCGTTACGCTTGTGCAGGACCTCACTATCCCAGACGATGATTGATTATACACAGTTCATTGTATATCACTGTCTCTCTGTGTATAAATGTGTGTGTGTGTGTGTGTGTGTGTGTGTGTGTGTGTGTGTGTGTGTGCGTGCGTGCGTGTGTGTGTGTGTGTGTGTGTGTGTGTGTGTGTGTGTGTGCGTATGTGTATATATATATATATGAAAGATGGCATTTTTTCGTACACTCTTACCGTTGGTGAATCGCACCTCCCAGAAAAGGCACGTATCACTGTTATGAAATACATGTCTACAGTTGTCACAAGTCTTTTTGCAAGCTGTGAGAGTAATGAAATGCACTCTGCTGTTTCCATTTACTTACAAGCCAGAATTACATTAATGAATCCACGATATGGAACAGCATGGGCTAATTAATGTTCCGTTGTTAGACAATGATGACGCGGAGACACCATTCACACTTCCAGCCGGTGATAGACAGCGCCTGAAGATACACTGGTGTAAAGGGGTGTTGACCTGGCATGACCGATCAGCCGGTGTTGTCCGTGTGTTGCACCACATGCTGGACACATGAACAACACTCAGTCATACACCCACACACATTCCACACGATGGAAACTTTCACTCTCTCGTTTTCTCATTCATACATGTGTAATTGTATGTAATCCATGTTTGTTTGACGGTGTTACAACATCTTACAGGGCTGTTTTTTCTTGAGTTGTCTGGTTAGATGTTAATTTTGTCTACCTCTTTAAATATACATTTATAATTATTTGTCATTTTTTTCTAAGACGCAATAATTCAAAGCGAAAAGTAGGATTTCTTGTTTGTTGTTTAATACCCCATCCTGCATAAGAGGTAGTTCGACTGAGAGGCTTATGCTTGGTTATGATTGTAATGTCCTGTGATAAGTGTATATTCCAAGTTTAGCTGTATATAGGCTGGTACAGACTACAGCATGAAGTGAGATTTGAATATATTAAAAGAAATTAAAAGAAAAAACAACCCATGGCAGCATATATCGGGGCTCCAGGCGAGGGCTCTGCTGCCGGCTCTCCTGCTCCTCCTGCTGGATCCGGCGGAGGGGGCCGGCTGCACCTCTGGCGAAGGAAGAGGAAAGTTACTGTTATTCTTGTACTATACTATATTACAGGTGCTAAAGTCAGGGTATCGAGGATGAGCATCGCCTGGGCACCGTCTTGGGCGGTTCGGATGCTGATGTTCACGAGGACATTGCGACTCCCACTCAGATGTGACAGATTTCTTGGAAACTCTGTCTTATTAAAGGAATAAAGTGCACTGGAGCAAAAAAAAAAAAAAAAAAAAAATCTCGACTTATGGGTAGCGTCAGTATGATGGGTGAAGTACTTAAGGAAACTACATTTCAGTAATCCAACAACATCGTGTAGCTTGCGTTTGTTGGTGTTCTCGTGTGATATTGTACGTAATCAGTTGCACGTCCATTGCGTTGTTGCATACGTCTGTTAACTCCCGTTGCCTTGCTGTATCTCCGTGTAGAACAATGTAATATTTCGTAAAGGATAAAGATGAAGGGAATAGTGAAGTCTACTACTCGCTGACTGGTTTTCTTTTACTGTAGTACTGAAGGGGTAACTGCAACATTTTATGGATGTGTAAATTAGTAAACAGTATCGGGTAATTTTCTAGAATAATGTTGGATAATCGATTGCGTCGATGTTGTTATTGATGGATTCCTCTCACCCTCTAGTACACATATATGTAAGAGTTATGCCCGGGACCCTTACCCTCACCCCCCCCTCATCCCACATTCTTGGCCCAGATAGCAGACGAGGGCATGAGAGGCCCTGGGGAAATTACGGGATAAAATAAGAATAAAATTCACAGAATCAATCTCTATACTGTCTGATGCTGGGGGCTGTGCCGCCTGCGACCTCTCTCCTGGGGGCTACCGCTTCCCAACCCCCGCCAATAAAATAAAAGAATCCGACGCTCTATCCTGTGTAGTGAAATCCACGATGTGTTTTAATACTTCCTTTTTCAGCTCTTAATGGAGGCTATTATTTTAAACTTATTTTTGCACCTCTTGTACCTTGACAATGTCTTAAATACGTCTTTTATTTCCCTTAAATCTTTAGCTCAATTAAGTATCTAATTAATGGTAGCAGGCGTTATGCAAAGCACTGATTTTTTTTAACCCTCCTGAGGCATGAAACAAAGTATGCATATTACGTACAATACTAAACGCTTCTGAACCGGCAAGAATATCTTTTATTACTTCCACATGTACACTTATATAATCCTGCCCAAAAATATACCGGAGACCAATACTTATCTCTGATTTTCCACAAATATCGAGCACACCACGGCAGCCCCAAGGCTGGTCCCGGCCTCTCTGTCTAGAGGGGTCGCTATGCTCCGTAGGTCACCTTCTTGACGGGACCCAAGTCGTGTAAACTGTTGTGTACTAATTAAACACAAGCGGGCTAATCCCTCTGTTTAGAAATATTTTGCTTAAACATTAAACATGAACAAGATTTTACTTTTATTTATAAAAAAGTCATGGGCACGTCCGTCAGATCTGCTACACTTGCCAAGAATATGCAGAGGATTCTTTGTTTTTTTCTGACGAGGTTGGGGAACGGTACCTTTCATGCCCTCCCCTGTTATCGTGACCGAGAATGTGTTTTTTTCGGGGGGGGGGGGGGGGGTCCGCGGTATAATTTCGATATATTTGGATAGTAGAGAGTCAAAAAAGAAAATTCCCCATTATTGAATTTAACACTTACATCAAAACACATTTGATTCCCAAGTCATCAATAATATCCATATGACTATCGATTCAAAAGGTACAATTGATTTTAAAACTGGATGTGTATGTATATGTATGTTTGTATACATATGTACATATGTATACATTTATGTATGTATACGTACATACACATCTGTGTGTGTGTTTTAGATATTTATGTATATACGTATGTATGTATGTATATATGTATATACACGTTTAGATGAAGCCACCGTACTTACACTTGTAGAAACATTTGTCAGAGAGCACAGCTAGAGGGTACTCATATAAAGGCTATGCAAGTGTGCGACAGGTGTATGGAGTC